TAAAAGATAAATATTTGTTGGATAAAAAGATAAATAGTTTCTTTTTTCTTTTCAGATCCTACAATAGTGTGCCAGCTAGTAAACTCAAGCATTTTACTCTTCCAATTTTCCTTTCTGTATATGAAAATTTGTTTTACAGTTATGAAAATACATAATTGTAAATCATTAAGCAAAACTAAGAGGCAAACAAACTGAAAGTTCATGAATTAGAAGCCTTTCTCAATTTAAAATAAATCATATATTAAAGCATTTTTCCCAAATTATAATGTAAGGAAATTAGATGATACGATAAATATCATAAAATACAACTGTTTGTCTTTAATCTGGAAATATGTTTTGCATATTTCCAAAATATATCTAAAATACCAAAATATTTTAGTGGCATTCAATTGACATGTTAAGACGATATAATAACATGAAAAATAACTTTTATTATATTAGTAATATTAGGTGAAAACAGCCCTTTATACAACTGTATGCACTAGATTTTAAAAGATGCATGAGGTGGGGAAAAAAGATTTTGAAGAAATACACCATAAAATTAATGGTGGTTGTGATTGATTAGCAAATTGGCCATGAGTGATTTTTATGTTTTATTTCTACTTTTTTTATTCTAGAAAAGTTAAATTACTTAAGGTCACACAACTATTAATAGTAATTGACTGAACTGTGAACTCACATCTGACTAACCAGACTTCAAATCCTATACTTTTAATCACAACAATATTTGAATAGCAATAAAATATTTACAACAATAATCCCACAAAGATTATACTTCTGAAAAGTATTCTGATTAGTAAAACTAAGCTTCACAAGATAAAGCATCTCAGAAAATAGGCCTTAGTGAAAAAGATGAAAATAGTATTAAATATATATGTATATTTAAAAAGATATCAGCAAAAATTGTAGATGGTATCTACTTCCTCAGCAAATTGGTGCTCAGCATTTAAAACTTTTTCATATACCTTCCTCAGGAAACTGCTGCAGTCATAATCTGTTGCAGTTGATTCTATCTTATTGTCTTTAGCTGGTTGCATACCAAATCAATTTTATGACCTCCGAAAGACTGCAACTTACAGTTTGAAAACCACTTTCCCATAGACCTATCTACTTGGATGCAGGTGACTAGTAATTATTTTGTTTTGTTTAAAGGTCTTAGATAGAGACACACCTTTGTAAAAATGTTATTGTTCTAAAAACTCTGGTTGATAAAACTGAGACTTGGGGGAATGTCTTTATATTTTCTGCCTCTGTTAAACTGAGGCCTTGAGAGGACAGGGAATATTTATTTATCATTGTGTCACAAATGCCTAACAGTGCCTCTCTCATGGTGGATGCTTGACAAATAGCTAATGAATGATTGAATGAATGGTTTTATTAAGACTAATACACTACCATTGTTTGAATCTGTTTTTGGAATTCCAGAAAATGTTTCTAAGACAATTCTTTTTTTTTTTTTAATTTCAAAATATTACAGAGGTACAAATGTTTTGGTTACAGGGATTGTTTTTATACTGCTTGAGTCAAAGTTATAAGGGTACCCATCACCCAGATAGTGTACATTGTACCCATTAGGTATGAATTCACTCATCCTCTCCTCCTCGCTCCCACCTACATGATTTCCATTGAGTTTTACTTCCATCCGTGCACATGAGTGCTAATCGGTTAGTTCCAATTTAATGGTGAGTACATGTGGTGTTTGCTTTTCCATTCTTGCATACTTTACTTAGGAGAATGGTCTCCAGTTCCATCCAGATTGTTGCAAAAGGTATTAATTCATTTTTTATGGCTGAGTAGCACTGCATGGTATACATATACCACATTTTATAAATCCACTAATGAGTTGATGAGCACTTAGATTGATTCCATATCTTTGCGATTGTGAATTG